GAGGAGGAGGACCAGTGCAAACCCAAGACGCATCAACGATGTCGCAGTAAACCCTCCCCCCTCCTTCCAAGTTCCCTCAGAGGTCCCTGCAAGAATTGTTTCTCACTGCTGGAAACGCCCCGTTGGAAGACACCCGTCTGAGAATCTTCAGTCGTGCCCCCCCCCCAAAAAAAAAAAAATCCTGGCGAAGGACCCAACAATATGCAGTTGTGAGTATCGCAATTGTGAGTATCTTCTTCGGTGGCGCTCCCTATGGGGCCACGAACCGCATGAGGGGTGTGCCGAAATGTGGCGGGGTACACAACGCAAAGGAATACGATAGATCTGATTACGAGAGAAAGAACGCGGGTGAGTCAGAGCGCGAGGGAATCTGAGTATGAATGGGTCTGCGCGCGAGTGAATATATTTGCATGAATGCGATCATGGAACCGCCTAGTGTAAGTGTCGAGCATGCCTGTCCGAACACACGTGACACTGGGCGTGGCCGCCGCAGGCAGCTTCCGCGGGAACCCCGACGGCAGCGTCCGCACGTCGCGACGCCCATGTCGGCACGCCTCTTGCGAGGATCGCGCCCGCTTTCGGCTCTTCTTTTCCTTCCTCTTTGCCCGCGCACTCCAAAATCCAAGGCTGCGGGCGCAGCGCAGCGCGGAGTCCCCGCGACGCGCGCTGGTCGCCCCGGGCGGGGTCCCAGCGACGCGCGCGGGTCGTCCGCTGCGCGAAGCAGAGAGAGCTGACTAGCTAACTGGCTGGCTGATAGCGGGCAAGTCTCTGACCGCTGGGCAGAGCGACGACGGGCGAACGAGGCGCCGGGCCCCCCGCAGCACGGAGTTCCCGCGACGCGCGCTGGTCGCCCCGAGAGGGTCCCAGCGACGCGCGCGGGTCGTCCGCGGCGCGAGGCCAAACAATTAGTCGGGCAGTCGAGAGAAGGCGCGGCTCGGGGGAGACGCTCCTCAGGTCAGGCCTCGCGGATGAACTCGGTGAAGCCGAGCTCCCTGGCGAGGGCCGTCGCTTCCCTCCTGCACCGCTTCGTGCGCGCCGCAAACTGCTCCAGCTGCTTCCGCAAGCCCTGCGGCGGCCCTGCCAGGAAGAACTCGATGCGCGGCGCCCGCATGAGCAGGAGGTCCTCGTGGCGCGTGGCGCGCGAGAGCAGCACGTAGAGCTCCAGCCACCAGTCGTCGTCCTCCTTCTTGCCGTTCCCTACCTCGTGGCGGCCGCAATCCAGGATCACGCCTGGGCGACGTCGACCGAGGGAGCAGCGCGCCGGGCAGCCGACGGCCCAGGGCGAGAGTCCACAGGACCGAGAGATGGTCTGGCCGCGGACTGCTCGCGCCCCGGAGGTCTGGCCGCCCCCGGAGCGCCGTTCCCCCGCCCCGTCGCCTTCGCGCATGGTGCGCCCCTGGCACGCCACCGTGGTGATGACCCTGCCGTGCGAGAAATGCGGGGGGTGTGCCGAAATGGGTGGGGGTGACGCATGCGGGCGGCGGCACTGAGGCCTTCGGTGGAGCTCCCTATGGAGCCACGAAACGTGTGAGGGGTGTGCCGAAATGGGTGTGGGTGACGCATGCGGCCGCGGGCACTGGGGCCTTCGGTGGAGCTCCCTATGGAGCCACGAAACGTGTGAGGGGTGTGCCGAAATGGGTGTGGGTGACGCATGCGGCCGCGGGCACTGGGGCCTTCGGTGGAGCTCCCTATGGAGCCACGAAACGTGTGAGGGGTGTGCCGAAATGGGTGTGGGGGACGCATGCGGCCGCGGGCACTGGGGCCTTCGGTGGAGCTCCCTATGGAGCCACGAAACGTGTGAGGGGTGTGCCGAAATGGGTGTGGGGGACGCATGCGGCCGCGGGCACTGGGGCCTTCGGTGGAGCTCCCTATGGAGCCACGAAACGTGTGAGGGGTGTGCCGAAATGGGTGTGGGGGACGCATGCGGCCGCGGGCACTGGGGCCTTCGGTGGAGCTCCCTATGGAGCCACGAAACGTGTGAGGGGTGTGCCGAAATGGGTGTGGGGGACGCATGCGGCCGCGGGCACTGGGGCCTTCGGTGGAGCTCCCTATGGAGCCACGAAACGTGTGAGGGGTGTGCCGAAATGGGTGTGGGGGACGCATGCGGCCGCGGGCACTGGGGCCTTCGGTGGAGCTCCCTATGGAGCCACGAAACGTGTGAGGGGTGTGCCGAAATGGGTGTGGGGGACGCATGCGGCCGCGGGCACTGGGGCCTTCGGTGGAGCTCCCTATGGAGCCACGAAACGTGTGAGGGGTGTGCCGAAATGGGTGTGGGGGACGCATGCGGCCGCGGGCACTGGGGCCTTCGGTGGAGCTCCCTATGGAGCCACGAAACGTGTGAGGGGTGTGCCGAAATGGGTGTTGATGATGATGATGATGATGATGATGATGATGATGATGATGATGATGATGAGAGGGGGGAGGAGGCAGCGGGAGGAAGGAAGGAGAACGCGGGGCACCGTCTCTTCAAAACGAGGACCCAACACCACAGGATGGTTGGGGGGAAGAAAAATAAATAAACGATATATACATATGCCATCTGTTTACAGAATAGCATGTGTAGCTCCCCTCGTGTAGTTTGTTCAGAAGATGCCAGTGATGTTCGGTTTATAAACGTGGACGCCCGGGAGGGGGCGGGGGAAATTCTGTACAAAACGACCGTTTTGTACAGAATTTCCCCCCTGGCGTTTTGAACGTGTCTGTTGCACTACGGTGAACTCCGCCGGTCGCAGCTCATGGAACGCATTGGCATCGCAGCGGGTCAGAATGATCAGGATTCGCCGGCAGAGTCTCTCAGCACATGTCTGTATTGCTCTGTCCGTGGCTATCCTGGCTCAAGTTTTTGAGGGCCTATGTACTGGTATTCCGATATCGCTTCTTGGTGCCGCGATATCGCCAGCATCGGCGCACACTGGTACACCGCCTCTGTGGTCAGCTCGTGCCCGGCTCCGCCCGCGTGCCCGACGCTGACCTGCGCGCCCCAGCCGGCGTGCCCGCAGGTCACCTGCGGCAATTGCTCGTGCGCGGAGGCCCTGCCGCTCCGCGAGATCCTGTGGGGCTCGGCCGGGGTCGCTCTGGCTGCCGGCTCTGCGGGCCTCGCCGCTGGGGCCGCGGTGGGCTTCGCGGCCGGGCGCCTGGTCCTGCTGCCAGGCGCTTGCCAGCGCCGGCGAGAGGCTGGGGCGGGAGGCGCCCAGCCGCGGCCAGGCCCAGCCGCCGAGGCCATCGTGGACGAGCCTCCGGCCCAGGCGCCGGCGTCGAATCGCGCAAGGTTGCTGGCGCGGGCAGGCACAGGACAGGGGCAGATCGTGACCGCCTAATTGGGCAATGGCGCTGGAGCCAGGTATCACCGTTTTCCTCAACTACGGGGACGCGCTCTATCATGAGCGGATCCTGCTGGCGTGGGTGGTAGATTCGCTGTTCATCGTCATCACGCCTGACTTTGACGTGTACATTGAACAAATTGACGCTTCTAATCCAGATCTCGAGGCTCTGAGGGTTAGCGACCATGCGGGCTCGATCCCATTTGGGCTCACGGGGGCGCAGCTATATCGCTTTCGAGCTCGGCCCGCTGGAGCTGACTTGGTGAACCTCATGGCCGAGGGTCGGCACCACGCGAGAGTGGAGCGGGCGGCGCGAGGCCTGGCCCCGCCACCAGGGCAGGATGACATCATCGGCCCGGGAGGCAATGCGCCGGCGGTCGTGCCCATCCCGTTGCCTGTGCCGCCGCCAGTGGCTCCTGGAGTGCCCGCGGTTCCCATGGCCCCGCGCGTGGCGGGCGCCGCGGGGGCATGGGTTTTCGACGAGCCGGGCGATTCCTTCGCCGTCGGCCAGGAGTTCGCCCTGCCGGCCAACGCTCTCGACGTGGGGGGCCGGACATTCGTGTCCGTCAACGGCAAGGCGGTCAGCGGGACGCGCGTCGCGGCTGGGACAGACCTTGATGGGTGGGCCCGGCAGCGCCAGGCGCAGCTGATGAGGGCGGACCCTCGTGTCCTGCCTCGCCCCGCTGGCGGTGAGCAGTCGGCTTTCGTCGACGATGTGAGGCTGATGAAGCGCGACCCCAGCGTCCCAATCGGGATCAAGGGCCCCGCCACGCTGCCCGACACCCTCGCGGACCTCAGGAAGGGCTCGACTGGGGGGTTCACGGCCGCGCACGACCGTTGGTTGGTGGACTCGAAGGTGCCAGCCTCCAGCAGGTCCGGACACGAGCATCGTGTCCTGAGCCGTGCCTTGTCGATGGCACATGAAATCGACGGGCTGAACTTGCCGAACTTGACGTGCCTCGAGTACATTAATCGTCGCCGTCAGCTCATCGAGACGGCCCACCGCGACGATCCCGTAAGCGGGTCGTGGGACTCAGCCCATTTGTACATGGGCGAAGACGAGGAGGGCACCGGCGTCCACGTGGCGCCGTCGCTCCGCGCCCATGTCGCCACTGAGCTGTCCAAGGAGACGGCCATCGAGAAGGAGAGGAGAAAGGCCCGCGAGGCCAAAGCGGCGGCCAAGGCAAAGGCCAAGGCCGCCGGGGACAAATGACCAGTGGAGAGATCGGAGGCGGGCCGAGCCCCGCGGGCGCTCAACCTGGCGCGCCCGCCTCCATCGACCCTCTCAGCCAGGACGACGGCGTCGCGAACGTGGGTTGGGCCTGGCCTGATCGTCGTCGAGACGTCGCCCAATTCGAGCCGACGGTAAAGTCGGCTGGAGTGGAGCGGGACCTTTTTCCCCTGCCGCTCCTCGGCCCGGAGTGGCCTTGCAAGACAGGTGGCGGATCGTCCAGGACGGCTCGCCGCCACAGCAGCCTCCGCCGGCACGCATGGGAGGACGCCAACGGCATGGTCCGCGCCCTGAACTCCCTGTACGGGTGCGTCCGTCCGCCAGGCGGGGCTCCGACGCCTGCTCAGCATCAGGTACACAGAGATCTGCTGAGCACCGCTCGTGCTGCCAGGCAAGATTTTGAACACGTCGTTCCCCGGGAAGCCGCTCGTCGACTTCTGGGCCCCAAAATGGAGCATGGAGGTGACGGCACCACGGTCGAGCCATTCGACGGGGACCGCGTCTCCCTGCCCCCTCTCGGCAAGGGGGCGGCCTGCCTCTCGGGCGCGCTCGACCCGGAGGCGGCCGCAGTTTTGCAGAACTTTGAGACTGACCTGCTCGCCTCGCCTGACGTGGTGGAGCAGCGGCGTATGTCGGCGCCGGCGCAGCCGTACCTCGACCTCGAGTTCCGGGCGAGCCGGCCCAAGTACATCCAGTTCTTGTCGATGTTGAAGTCCCGCGGCATCATCTCTCTTGTCGGCCGCCGCCGAGGCAGCGTGACCCCGTTTTTCGTTTCCAAGAAAAATGGGAAGCAGCGTTTGGTGCTGGACTGCCGGCTCATCAACATCCTTTTCCACCACGCCCCCGTGATGGAGATCGGAGCGCTGGACTGCCTGAGCGGGCTCGAGGTGCCGCGGGGCCGCCAGGTGTTCACGGCGTCGGCGGACATCGAGGCCTGCTTCTACCAGTGTGGCGGGCTGGGGTCGCTCATCGAATTCTTCTGTCTGCCAGGAATCTCGGTGGCAGAAGCGACGCACCTGGGCTTCGACGTCACGGGCTTGTTCCACGACGCAAAGATGAAGCTTCACGTGGCGTTGAACGTGCTGCCGATGGGCTGGTCCTGGGCCTTCTGGTTCGTCCAGCGCGTCCACCTAGAAATGCTGCGGCGCGCTGGGATTGACTCCAGTCGCCTGGCGCTTGGCGGGTGGCCGCTGCCGCTGCTGGAGGGCGGCCCTGTCGAGCTCCCATACTCCGACAACGTGAACGTGATCGGGCTGGACCCGGTCGCCGTCGGGGAGCTCCGCGACAAGATCGTCTCCACCTTCGAGCGGCATGGCTTCGCGATGCACGAGATTTCGCCCGTCTCGGACGCCGCGGTGATCCTGGGCGCGAGCGTCGGCGGATCTCCGCCGAGCACGCGCCGGGTCTTGAACAAGTTGCTGTTAGTGCGAGGGGCGCTGCAGTGGCTGGCTTCGGGGCCCACCGTCACTGGGCGCCAGGTGGAGGTCATCGTCGGGCACTACGTTGCGCTCACGTCCTTCAACAGGCTCGGGCTCAGCGTGATGCGGTCGCTGTACGATTTCATCCGCGACAAGTACGTCATGCCGACGCGCTTGTGGGCCTCCTGCCGGTACGAGGCGTGGGTAATGGCCGACGTGAGCTTGCTTCTCTCTGCGAGGCTCGACCGGCCGTGGTCGCCCGTCGTGACGGCCTCCGATGCCGCGAACCGTGGCATGGCGGTGTGCGAAGCAATTTTCCCGGTCTCCGCCGTGGCCTCCGTCGGGCGATGGCGGGAGCGGTGGAGGTACAGGCGGCTGAATCCCGACGAGTGGGCGCCGAGGCGCCGTGCCCTTGCCCAGGAGTTCGCTGAGATCGAAGATCCCCTCACCGTCACTGCCTGCTCACCGTCGCCATCTGGTCCAGGGTGGGCTCTTCATCAAGGATTTCCAGAGGTTCCTCGGGAGCTCGCGACGACAGGGTACCGCACGATATATGCTGGCCCCCTACGTTATCAGGAACATATCGGTGTCAAGGAGGGGCGGGCGTTTCTGTGGGGGCTCAGACGGGCTGCTCGCGACGTTCGGAACTTCGGAACTATCAGGCTATTTCTCATCGACAACTTCGGGGTTTGCTGCGGGCTGGATCGGGGGAGGTCATCGTCACACGCCATATTACAGTTGTGCCGTCGGACCGCTGCCATCTGTCTCGCAAGCGGGATCAGCCCCAGGTTCCGCTGGATCCCGTCCGAGTTCAACCCCGCGGACGCGGGCAGTCGGCTCTTCGAGCACCAGGGCCCGCTCGGCCATGCTTGGTCCGCTGAGTCGAGCTGGCGCCGGGCCCTCGCAGAGCTGCGAGGAGAGGCCGACAGCCGAGGCCGAGGCTGCGCCGATTCCGGCCCCCACGCCTGCTGCGGGACCGCCGAAGCGGCGGCCAGCCGCCAGGCGGCGGCCTGCGGCGGCCGGCCCCCGCGCCCGGCAGCAGCCGGCCGCTGCCCCCCGGCCGAGGCGGGTCGCGGCGGCGCTGAGCCAGGCATCCAAGTCGCCGGCCTCGGCCGCGGCCCGCTCGCACTGCGAGGAGGCCGCAGCAGGCGCTGCCACGCGCGCCAACTACAGGCCGCTCTGCGACGCCTTCCTCGAGTTCTGCCAGACGAAGGGCCGCGTCCCAGCCGACGTCAACGAGCTGCAGATCAGGCTGCTCGAGGCGCTCGACCACCTGCTTGGGGCCGATGGTACCAAGGGCGATGCGGACACGCTCGTGGCGGCGGTCAAGGATCACTTCCCCTTCGCGGTCGGCTCGGGGACTCTGCCTCGGGTGACCCGCGCCCTACGGGGGTTCGGGAAGAAGCGGCCGCCTCGGTCCCGGGCACCGGCACCAAAGGAGCTCATGGCGGCAGCGGTGTCGATGCTGCTGGCCCTGGGGCTGTACGACCAGGCGCTGCAAGTCGCGGTTCTGTTCTACACCTACATTCGCCCTGGGGCTCTCCGACAGCTGACGGTCGGGCAGCTGCTGCCCCCAGCGAGGCGGTCGGGGCCGCTGAGCCACTGGTCGATCATCCTGGCACCGACCGAGACGGTGGGCGCGCCCCGGGTCCTGACCAAGACCGGCACCTCGGACGAGACGGCGCTGCTGGACGAGCCCGCCTGGCTGGGGCCTGTGCTGCAGGCGCATGCGCGGGGCAAGCCTCCGACCGCCCCCCTCTTCACGACGGGCGGCCCAGGCATGGCAGCGGCCTTCGGCCGTGCTGTGGCCGCCCTGGGCGTCCCGGGCGTATGCCTGTACCAGCTCCGGCACGGCGGGGCCAGCGACGACCTGCTCACCCAGAGGCGGCCGGCGGACGCCGTGAAGGCGCGCGGCCATTGGAAATCCGAGAGCAGCTTGCGCAGGCACGCGAAGCCCGGGGCCATTCACCAGCTGCTCAACGCGATGCCAGCGGAGAACAGGGCGTTCGGCGTCCAGCAGATGAACTTGCTCGAGCGCCTGCTGAAGCGCGAGGCGCCCGGATCGTGGGCGCCCCGCAGCGGCGTCGCTGCGGCGGCGTGAACTGGAAGGGCCGCGGCGGCCGGCTACACCGACCCCGCCGCTTTCGGAGGCCTGGGGAGGTGTTCGAGCTGATGGCGGGCTCAGCGCGCATTGCCGCTGCCGCCGCCGCTGCCGGTTTCCAGGCCCGGTCTTGGGAGCTGTCCGAGTCGGAGATGCAGGACTGCATGCACCCTCTCGTCAGAAAATGCATTTACGAGAGCCTCCGTTTGAGGCTAGTTGCCCTGCTGTGGATTGGCTCCATAAGCGCCACTTGGTCGCGTGCCAGACGCAACGTCTCTGGGCAGCCCGGGTGGCCAGCGCCGCTGCGGTCGCGAAAGTGCATCTTCGGTTTACCCCACCTCGCTGGGAAGGATCTGGCAGCTGTTCACGGAGGCAACGCTCGTGCGACCTGGGCCGCTCGCCTCTTCCAGTTCGCAGCGCTTCGAGGCTGCCCCGTGGTGATTGAGAACCCGCAGAGCAGTTTCATCTGGTGTCATCCAGAGTTCCAGCGCTTGTGCGAGAAGTGGCGGTATATCGACATTGACTATTGCGCCTTCGGTTGCCCATATCGTAAACGCACGAGACTCTTGTATGCTAACCTTGATATTTCTCGACTGAGTTGGGCGCACTGTTCTGGCAGGCACGTCTGCAGTTTCTCTCATCAACCGCACGTGGAGCTTGCTGGCAGGGCAGGCAAGACGTTTCATACCGCCAACGCCGTTGCATATCCACATGAATTGGCAGCGGCCGTTGCTCGCTGCCTGTGGGCCCGCCCACCCTCCCGAGTACAGATACTCTGATCTGGGGATTGGCCAGAGAGTGATTGCCAGCTGGCGCGCGAGGCTCACAACTGCTCGCCCCGCGCTCGATCGAGTAGTCTGCGTGAAAACAGATCGAGGGGGGTGTTAGCATGTGCCATCTGTTTACAGAATAGCATGTGTAGCTCCCCTCGTGTAGTTTGTTCAGAAGATGCCAGTGATGCTCGGTTTATAAACGTGGACGCCCGGGAGGGGGCGGGGGAAATTCTGTACAAAACGACCGTTTTGTACAGAATTTCCCCCCTGGCGTTTTGAACGTGTCTGTTGCACTACGGTGAACTCCGCCGGTCGCAGCTCATGGAACGCATTGGCATCGCAGCGGGTCAGAATGATCAGGATTCGCCGGCAGAGTCTCTCAGCACATGTCTGTATTGCTCTGTCCGTGGCTATCCTGGCTCAAGTTTTTGAGGGCCCCCCCCTTGCCCTCCCTCTTCTTCTCCTCTTCTTCCTGCCGTTGGCAGCCAGAGAGTGATTGCCAGCTGGCGCGCGAGGCTCACAACTGCTCGCCCCGCGCTCGATCGAGTAGTCTGCGTGAAAACAGATCGAGGGGGGTGTTAGCATGTATATATAATAATAATAATATATATATATATATATATTTATTATATATATTATTTTTTTTTTTTAAAAAAAAAAAAAAAAAAAAAAAAAAAAAAAAAAAAAAAAAAAAAAAAAAAAAAAAAAAAAAAAAAAAAAAAAAAACAAAAAAAAAAAAAAAAAAAAAAAAACGCTCCTGGGATTTCAATGACGCGAATCAACGTTGCTGCTGCGTCCTGGCGATCCTGAACTGCACAAGAGCACCCTTCTTGGGACGTCAACACAGCGAATTCACGTGCCTGCTGCCGCCTGACAGTCTCAAACCACGCCAGAACAGCATTCTTGAGACGTCAACCCGAAGAACCCTCCCTACGAACCCCTGAAACTCCTGCAACATTTCAAGACGAATGTGCGCGCCGCTAGGGCGGGAGCAACATCTTGAAAAGGAGCCGCCCTCCATCCGTGAAGCTTCCTGCAAGCGCTTAAGAGGATTATGCCCCGCGCTGAGCTGAGAGCCACATGTTGCAAAGGAGCCGCCCTCCAACCTTGAAACGCCTGCAAACTGATAAGACGTATGCGCGCGGCGCTGTAGGCTT